TATATATATATATATATATATATATATTTCAGAATAAATGCTGAGGAGCAAATAATAATATTAGATACTATTCAAACATCAGTAATTTTTATTTTTCGTGAATTGCAATGAAATTTACTTCAAAACTGTTGGAATTGTATTATATAATAGCTAAAGAAAATGTATATAGATCTGTATAGCATGTATTTATAAATATTAATTGGTGATAATTCAAATTCCATCTTTATTATTGGTAATAATACTAGCTATGAAGGAAACTATTGTACAGTTTACCACCATTGGATGAGTTTCCTGTTAGAAACATTCTCATACTTCATGGCCCATGTGTCGGGGACAGTTAGTACAATATTTTCTTTTATGATTTGAGCCTTTTATTCAAGAATAACTATTGTTGTTAATTGCCCTGATTATGAGGAATTGTTCATTCACCGAAACATATTGAATAATTGTGGCTGAATCTGTATAACATTATTTTTCATAGGTTAGCAGAAAGACAAGCAGAGCTAACACTTGAGATGGAGAAAGTCAAGAAGGATGCCAGTAAGCTCAGCTTTTAGGAATCATTTATGTACATAATATTAAGTTTATGTTGTGTTAAGCTTGTCAGAATTTCTGATTGTAATCAAACTTTTATTGTTTGTTTGTTTGTTATGTATTTTGTGCAAAGCTACGCGAGAGCTATCTGCACTAGCCATCCCTAATTTAGCTGTGTAAGACTAGAGGGAAGCGAGCTAGTCATCACCGCCCACTGCCAACTCTTGGGCTACTCTTTTACCAAAGAATAGTGGGATTGACTGTCACATTATAATGCTCCCATGGCTGAAAGGGCGGGCATGTTTGGTGTGATGGGAATCGAACCCGCGACCCGCAGATTGCGAGTCGAGCTCCCTAACCACCTGGCCATGCCGGGCCAACTTCTATTGTAGAAAAATATAAAAACAAGAGATAATTATATCCACCAAGTTTCTAAGTAATTACCACTGTTTCTTAAGTCACTTTTTATCTTAGAAACAAAAATAAAACTATACTAATTTTTATTGTTATTCTTGAGTGATGTAAAATAAAAAAACAGATGACTTCAGTGGAGTGGCCTCAGTCGTTATTAAGATTCGGTACGAAATGTTAACATCTTGTACACTGTGTAACTATAACCATATAATTATGCAATTAATCCATTAAACTTCTATTTCATAACATAGCAAAGCTCAAACCTATGTTATTTGAGTTAAGCTATTGTATATTTGATAATGATTATATATAACATACTTCTTAAGAAGTTTATAATTTTCATGGTTAATAGTCTGTGAGATGACCTATGTCTAATTATTAATTTTTAGGATCACCACTGCTTTCCATAATCACATAAAGAAGTTACTAATATTCATTACAATAAGATCTATTAGTCATTCAGTTAAAATTAGTTTCTTCAAAAATATAGATTAGAAATCTCGTTGTTGTAAGTAAATCAGAACTGATAACCACTTACTTTGTTTTTAAATTTTGTTTAAAGAGTATAATACTGATAATTATGGATTTTCATTTTTAGAAGAACTTTTGACACACAGGCAGGAGATGGCTGCTCTTTTGAAAAGTAGAGCTGACCGTGTGGAAACGATGTCGGAAGTGGAATGGAATGAACTAAGGGCTGACATCAAGGTATTAAATCAAAACACTGTCCACTGCGTGAATAAAGAAGTGTAATACATTATTTTAGATAGAGTATTATATCCAGCTTGTGAAAAGGCATTATGAATTCATCTTGTTTGGAGATTTGTGTTTGATTATTGATTCATAGAAATATTACAAGAACAATGGATGTTATATGTCAACTTTAATATAAATCGGGGTTATAACAAGTTTTGTGACTTAAAACAATGGTACTTTGATGAACTTGAGATTAAAACAATAGTTCTCAGTCTTTTCTATACTGAGCCCTCTTTGAATATAACTACTAGTTTTTATCTTACCCTCCCTTTTCCACCTGATCTGAAAGTATAAGCTGATAATCTTTTTTCTTGATCTTGTTATTAGCCACCTTAAAATTTTAGTTATCCTGCACCCCCTTTGAGTGATACTTTGCTCCCATTGGGGAGGTGCCCCAAAGGTTAGAAACTGTATTCAAGTGAAGTATAAAGATTTTCTTGTAACAATTTCATTAAATCAGATGTGATTTTTTTATGCTCCATTTCTGTAAAGATTTTTTGAACCTTCAAATATCTTTGTAATCATAACAGTTGAAAATAATCTTTTTTTAAATATAATATGATTAAAATGTGCTTACTATAATATACCTCGGGCAAAAACCTATCACTTTTATTTTTGAAAAATGTGTACCAAAATATTTTAATTTCTTAAACTGATCATTTTAATCTAATTTTTTGTATTTATGTTAATTATCAAAATAATACTAATAAAATATAATTATTTCTTTTGCTATTTACTGTTATCAGAACTAAATACTACATTGAGAATAAGATGTTTTTAAAGAATTTTGTCTATTAATAGTTTACTGTTAAAACTTATGGACTTGAGAATGATTGCACCGATGAACGAAACGTCGTAACTGTTTTAAAAGTATTCTTCCTTACTGTAAAAGCTGTAAATTGTATTAAAATAATTTTGTTTATTTTTTTTAACAGCACTTTGTAGTGGAGAGAAAGTTTGATGAGGATTTGGGAAAGACCTTGAGATTTGTTTGGGACAGAGACAGAATTGTGGAGGTATTCTATGTTAACGTAAATAATGTTGAAAAGCTATAAACCTTATAATGTGTTGCACATTGAGCACAAAATATCTGTGCAATAAGATGTATACATATATATATATATATATAAATGAAACAAAATAAAAATATTTTATGGCTTACCAAGTTACATAAGTCAATGTACAAGGTAGATCAAATATAACAATTATTTACCTTATATCTTGTATTAGGTATAAATCGTTGATAAAGAACTGAATTACGACAAAAAAAAAGATAAAAAGAATTATACTCTGAGAAAAAAATAGACTGTAGCAACTGTAGCATGGCTTGAACTGTGCTTTCACCAGTTGAAATATCTGTAATTTCTATATGGGCATATCTAAATAATACTAAACACCTTAGATACTTGAAATAAATATCATATTCTTTAGATGACTATAACCTCAAATAAATGTCTCATTCTGAAAAATTATAGTTATGGGTTATTTAAAAAGCTGGTGGGCTTCAGCCTACCCATCCCTCAGCCAAATGTCCAGCTGTATTCATGTTGTAAAATAAAATACTGACTTATACTGTGTGTAATATTGTACTATGGACCATGAATAACCTTTTTGTTATTGTTTTCCTGTTCAATTTTTCTTTTTATAAGTGCAGTTTATAGTTAGCTTGTTAGTTGTTTAATTTTGGTTGGAAGATTAAAGTATAGCTATAATGTTTTGTCATTTAACTACGGTCTTATTTTATAAAACCTTTTCCTACGGACTTATTTTATAATACCTTTTCGTTATTTAACTACGGTCTTATTTTGTAATACCTTTTCGTTATTTAACTAGGGACTTATTTTGTAATACCTTTTCGTTATTTAA